GAAAGAAAGTTTCCGACCAGCCACTGAACAATAAATATTAAAGTGTTTCTCTTGGAAAGTCTCCAATCGGGTGCTCCTTATGTACACTGTCAAACACGTGCTCCTGTGCCATTCCTCTCTCTCCCCCGTCTCTCTCTCACTCCTCATCCATCCATCTCTCCCTCCCATCTCATCTGCTGCACCATCTGTGCAGCTGTAATAAGCAAGGCTCCTCATGTGCTCTCCTTCCCTCCCTTGCTTTCTCTCCCCCCCCTGATTCTGGCTCACCCCGCTCTCCATGCATGGCCTCCCCTGTATCACTGTTTGACTGACTTGTTTGCATCCCACGATGGAGTCACCGCACATCCAGACTCGCTTTGTGCAGAAAATGGCTCGGATCCTTTTTGCCCACACATTATGTCCCGCCATTACGCAGCAGGCCCAGCCACTTAACACAACACTGCTTTCATCTTTTCCACCAGCGTAAACGTGATAACCTTACACAAGCTCACTCTGTGGCAAACACAAGAATGCATGATCACTCTCCAATAACCCCCCCCCATACTAGAGAGTGTGCAGCTGAACATCTTACATGTGAGGTCCTCTCAAACAGCAAACTATTGATCTGAGTCAGTCATCACACTGACATCCCACTCAGCTGGATAATGGAAAAATCAGTGTGAAATATTGCGTGTGATTCTCTTGGCTTAAAGTTCAAACACAACAAAAACATCTTGGAAAGACCCCCTCAGAATGTGATGTTCTGTTCTTTAACCATGCAAAGTTTCTTTGTAAAAAAGCCTTCCATCAGCAGACAGGGACACTGTGCCACTCTGCAAATGGCGATGGGCCTTTGGGCCTCAGTGCTGTCCATATTGATCGCATGCCCACCAGAACTAAATGGCATGAGTGAGGACACAAGGCGTGTATTGCAATACTAGAAAGAGCTCTAGCGCCTCACAGTGGCACATCTGGGCAACAGTCCTGAGTGTTTTTGACAGGAGACATAGAATAGAAAAAAACGTGTTTGTCCTTTTGAGAGGTCTGAAGGAACGGAAAAAGACATGGATGATGTGCAATGTGTGAAGTATATTTAAATACATTACATTTGTATAGGCTTGATTGAGATCATTACCGACACTGAGGCCGATTCACTTAATTTTCTAATTAAGTTTAAAGATAATAAGCCATGTTCAAAAACCTTCAAGGCCCTGATAACTGGTAATTGTTGCATATTTTGTCCTCAATATATGATGTGATAAGAAATACCTTAATGTTTTTGAACTCTCAAAGAAATTGATCAAATACAAAAACAGCAAAATGATCTCGATATGAAACATTACTTCTGATGTGAGAGGTTGTGTTTCTCTGAATTGACATTCTGTGAGAGTTTGGGTGAGAAGTCAATCCATTTATTCAAAACATAACGCCAGAGTCTATGCACAGCCGCACTTGACAATATCATAGAGAAATATGTAAGAGCTGACCGGGGGCCTCACAAAGGGATAGAAAACTTGTGAACTGCATAAGCAAGGTGAATTGCTTTTCATGCCGTTTTCTATTTTTTTGAGATTCCTCTCGTCCTGAAGTTCAAGGGTGCAGATCAGCTAAGACGATATTACATTTTCTCTCACTGATGGTTCTGCCTTTCATTAGATTGGATTTTAAATTCTCCTCTTAAGCAGGAGAAATTCTATAGGAATGATTCCTCAAGAGTTATTGATTATGAAAAGCCTGATATCTCCGGACAGTGCAGGATCAATATGACTAAGCCATCTCATATCTGCCCGTATAATGCCTGCAGTTAGCCAAATACTTCCAGTTTAGAGGTCAAGGAGTTTTTGTAATCACCGAACAATTTAACTGCAAAGCCCGAGACAAACCAATTTACGTCGTACGGGTCACTGTCGTAATTAGGCAAATACATCAGAGAGTAAAACAGGCATGATCCCACAATGACTTATTGATCAGAGTTTATTGAATGGGAGTCAGTGGACGCCACGGAACCATCTCTAACTCTCTGATTCACCGTCAGAGGATAGACAGGCAGCCTCCCTGCACATGGGTCTTCACAGACTGCGGGCAGTACAGAGCAAGGTCTCTGCAGCTCCGAGCAGGACTCAGCGGCACCACGAGGACTCAGTGGATAATGAGGATCTTTGTGATGTGTGCTGCAGGAATCGAGTGAAGGCGGGGAAATGTAATGAAGCACAGACCACCGTCTGCAGCCACACAGACACTCTGACACACAGATCCACCTCTATCGTCCTTCATGCACACACATTTTCACACTTTCACTGCTGTTTGGTCAGATTTCACACATCATCCTGCATGCTGATCTGAAGAGAAACCGGGGGCTGAGACTGAAAATGTATCTCCTAACATAAATAAAGAGAGACATATTTAAAGTGACGTACAGTAAAGAACACTTGTGACAATCCATGAAAGACACTTTAAACCATGTATTTATTAAGATTTTCAGAATGTTTTACAGAGTATAAGTCAGAGAGAAAAACAAACAGAAAACAAAACAGGGTTTACATCGCGGGACATGATGCTACATTGCATCACTAGCGCAATATTTCTTAACACAAACGTTTAAAGAGGGGTAAGCGTGAGCAGTGAAATCAGTTACTGTCCGGGATCTCTGTCCAATCGGGCAAGATAATCCAAAAATAGGCTGCCAGATGCTGAAAAATTTGTTAAGATTGGCCATCATGCCATACCGGATTTTCTCCATGTGCAGTACACAAGTAAGGTCAGTTAGCCAGGTCTTGAACTGGGGCACGCTTGAGTAAATAAATATTGTCTTCAGTCGTGAACCACATTAAAGGTCCTATATTCTGCTTGTTGAGGCACATCTATGTGCAAAAATTAAAAGTCAGCGGAAACGTGGCTTCTCCTACGTCCTCCTGTTAGCTGCAGCATTAGCTGCATGTAACGCTCGGTTCTAGCCCCCCTTAGCTATTGTGAACATACTTTAGTAGGTACATATATTAAATATACGAACCCCAAAAAGGGCAGAATATGACCTCTTTAAATCCTGAGATTCTGTGTAGCACTCCTGAACAAACTACTTTGTGCTTTATTTGTATGCAGCAGCATTCATTGGATGACTGGCGAGTACAAGACACATTGACCTTTACTTCCACAACAACGTGTAATGCACTTGTCACCGCTGCTTTACAATTCATGGACCGCCCATGGAACGTGCTTCTCGGGGGGGAAAAAAAAAAAACGTCCTCAGATTTGTGTAATTAAAAGCGCACACACGCACGCACACACTCAAACGCAAACACAATGTAGTTTCACCTCATCACCACTTAACTGCCGGACAGCTTCCCCCCTTCATTTTACAGCTCGATCTCATTAAGTGAACACAACACATTTGTGCTAAAACGGCATGGTAATGTGAGAGTTATCAGAAGGAGCAGGTTCTACTTGAGTTCCTGCTGTCAGCGAGGGCTGAAACATAATGACTGCTGCCTGCTGCTTCAACCTCTCTAAGCACAGCATAAAGCACACAGCTGCTGCTGTATGGCTGTCACAGTGTTATGTGTGGTGGTGGTATATAAAGACGGTGATATGACATGTAGATGGAGATCCACAATAGCACATTACTGAGGTGTGATCTTTGAGGTTGCACGGACCGCTGCACCTCTTGGCCTTTTGCCCATTTAAGTTGCAGAGTCAATCTGTTGTGTGCAGTCATGCTAAGGAGGGAGATGCAGTGAAATGCCGGCTCAGACCTCATATTCTCACTGCTAGGAGGGATGCAATTTCTTCTTAAGGAAGCAAATTTCTCATTACTTTTTTTTTTTTGCCAACCATTTGAATATCTATATAGACTTAATTTCATGCTTGACCTGCATTTCACCAGAGATGTAAGCAGGAATGGAAAAGACAGAATGACTGGCTTGGAACAATCAGAAAAGGGAAAAAAAAGAAAGTTGACTCTTCTTTGTTTCTTTTGAATTAACAGAACGTTTGTGTGAGTGACAAATCAAATATTTACAAAGCTTCACAGCAGTTTTTAAACCCTTTGGCTCTTTTTCACTCTCTGTGGTGTGAGTCGGTGTTCAAACTGAAGTAACGTTATTATAAACACAAACTCTTTGTGTGTGTATAACTGAATCATTTTAGAAAACATATTTTGCTGATGTAAAAAGAGTTACAGACTATCTTTGTAATTTTGAAAATTATCATCTGTGAGAATTTAGAAAGTTCAACAACTGGTTTGATACATTTCTGTTATTTTATACTTTCTGAAACAGCTAACCAATGTGACTGACCTCTCTTTGTTGCTTCTGTCATTGTTAGTGGCAGAGTCCATGTATCCAATGATAGAGCCCTTTCTACGGGAATTCACATGAAAACAATACAAAGACATAATCTGTCATAAGCCTTCATCACATACTGTACACTCCTAAAAATGTATAAATCTTCAACATTTGCCTGTTCACACATGCACCTCACAGCAGGAGACTCTCCCTGTCAGACAGTGGGGTGGGGGGGTCTCAGGAGACAGGACATGATCTAAAAAGGAGACGAATTGCTCCTTATATGCTAACTTAATACCCAATACTGGATCCAAAATGCTACATTATTGAAAGGAACAATATGTAGGAATTCAGTTTGGTGCACATTGGCCCCCACCAAAGACTCTGTAAGAAGCCATAGAACAAGGTCAACTAACAAGGTACAGTAATACTACTGGATTATGCACAAATAAGACTGTGCTGGCTTCTTATTTGCCAAAGGTTTTCATGTGAAGTATGTGTATGTGTATTCAGCTGTCACCATGCTGTCTATAGTCTGTGGCTAAATGGCTACAATGGAGAGCTGTAGGGATCCAAACTTATAAATCTAACTTAGAGATAGAAAAGGAAAGAGTTCAGTTTTTAATGAGGAAAAGTTACATATTGTTGCTGTAAGATAAACTGAGTGCTGACAGTGTGCAGGAATCCTTCATTATATCAAACATGTGATATGGTGGAAATTGAAGAAGTGGGAGGAACGGCTATGTTTGAAACGTTTATTCCATTCACATTTTGTCGCTCACATGAGCCGGTTTACATTTCAAGTCGAGTTTGCATGCATAAAGAAGAAGCGTCAGAGGGAGTTCAGCAATAAACGTTTTAATTGGACGAGGTGAACGACTGTTTGTAATGTCAGCTCAATATCTGAGACAAGTTAATGTTGTGATCGGAGCAGCAGGAAGCACTAACAGCTGGTGTCATTGGAGAGAGTCCAGGAGCGTCTACACATTCTGCAGCTTCTAAATAATATTAAAGATTATTTACCTCTGAGGATAAATACTAAAATATTCATCCAAGGAACTCTTAGTCATCATAAATCATACCCCGTTTCTCCTGCAAAATGAAAACGATCCGATGGGATTTATAGAAACTTCAAATTAAAAGATAAACAATTTAGTCTTCTTTGAACTGTCAGTGTGTTTGTTTGAAGTCAGGTGGAGGATGGGACTGATTTAGTGCAGGGCAAAGACTAAAAAATAAACCCAGCCTCCAGTCAGGCTCTTTTTTGTCACCTTTGATTCACTGGAGCGGGAGGGCGGCTGAGATGGCCAGAGGCAGCAGGAGGGAAGAGGACACACATCCGCTTCCTGAGGTGAGAGTCGCACCATACTGGTCCAGCAGCTGCAGGGCCACGCCATTGGTCCAACCAAATCCCAGCTTAAAAAAGAGACAACACAGCCAAGAAATTACTTTTTTATTGCACTTTATCAAAGCAGTAAAAGAGAGTGATACAATCCAGTGATGAATAAAAACAAACAAGTAAATGGAAGAGAAAAAACAGATAACGAGATCCAACAGGGTGGAAAATGATACAAAAAAGTTGGAAAATGACAAAGAAGCGAGAAGGAGTGGGCGTTTCTGTGTACATAAGTATGCAAATGTGTTCAAGTTAAGAAGCAGAAGTAAAGAACATTGACAGCGTTCTGCATGAAATTAGAAAGACCTGTGTGACTCTAAGCACATTAGTGTTACACTGTCGACACACAAAAGAAGATACCTGAACTTCATATTCTCCACCGCCGCCGGGTTTGCCATCTCCGTTCACATCGTACTGTTAGGAGGAAGCGAATGACACCTTCAGAGGCAGCTGTGTTATCACCGCACAACACGAGCGCGGGAAATACTGCAACCTTAAAGAGGACTCACCTTTTCAAACATGGCGTCGTACTTCATGTACGCCAACCAGTTTGTCTTGATCCAACGCTGGGCCAAATCGAACGCCAGTTGTTTAGCTTCCTCTGAAGGCATTTTGGATAAACCTGGAACACAAGATGACTTCAGTCATTCAACAAAGCTAAGACAAGTCTGTTTACATTTCAGGAAGCTCAAAGTGAAAAAAAAAGTCAAGTGACATGTTGCTCAGCTCTACTCAAGCAGGTGAAAATTAAACAAAACTACCCGAGTCTCAGTTAACGTGGGTGATTTTTTAGGTGTGATTCCTAGAAATGCATAGTCCCCAAGTTTTAGAATAACTCAGCAGGACAGGGGTCATAAAGCTACAGGAGAGAAACAACTTTTATTTGCCAATAACCTGTCACTCTGATTATGTGTCACTGATTCGTACAGCCTGAGAGAGGCAGAAAGTCCTTAAAAATGAGCAAAAAATGAATCAGGCTGCAGTGAATGTGGTAGAGCAGCACCAGGGCAGATGTCTGTGGGTGGTGGGATATGAAGTCCAATCATAATTATGATGACTTTATGGAACTTGTTCTACTTTCTTACCCAGTTAAAGGTGTCTTGTATTGTTTTAATCTCAGCGTGAAGGTGGATGTTGTTTGGTTTTAAAGAAGCTCCACAGGGGAACTTAAAGAGTGTTGATGTAAAACCTGAAGGTCCAAAGTCTAAACTGCTTTCTTGCATTAAAAATACACAAAGGGAAGTTTAAGGTCGGATCAAACAAAATCCAAATGTATAAAACAAACTGTGTGTTTTCAGAAATTAGTTTGCAAAGGCCGACAGAGCATCATCTTGACCAACATGTGACTCATCAGTACGGGTTCAGGAGACTCATGGTGGCAGACGGGTGTTTTCTCCACCCACCCTCGATGAGCATGTGTTGCAGAGGAGGCCACGCGTTGGGATAGTCCCACTGCTGCCCGGACTCCTTCAGAGACGTTGGCACTCCGTTGGGGAACTGGAGGGCTCCGCTCCTCTGTACAGAAAATGAAAAAAGAAAAGAGCACACACAGACGAGCGTGGGGAGATGAAAGCCAGTGTAGTGTGTGAGCGCCATCTGCTGGGATCACATGAGCACAACTCATCAAGCAAATGTAACATCTTTTCTCTGTAGGTTCAACAATATCTCCTCCCTCATCGACTACCCATGAGCACTTCTAAAAAATGAAAGTGTAAACTTATTTGTTTTGGCTTTCACCACAAAGAAAATAAAAATTTGGATATCAAATATTTTTCTATGTGAGCCAGCTAAAGGGGACTGTCTTTGTGTAGTCTGTTTGTGCACAACTCATAGCTAAAAAGCTTCTGTTATAGCCCAGTGTTTTTCAAAGAGGGGGCGCTGACCCCACAGGGGGATTTGTTACGGGGGTCCCAGAAACTTGGAGGGAAGAGGAAGGGAAATGGAACAAAAATAAAAATCTATTTACAACATAATTTGTGAAAATTACAGTTAAAAAATGATTTGAGATGTCATGAATCCCTGCATATTAAATTATCTTCTACTCTTTATTTGTGTAAGTCACAAAATGACAAAAGATACTTAATGAAATGAATAAGATTGTTAATTTTTAATATAAATAAGGAGATAAATTAAAAAGTTGAATGTCTTATTTTTGTTTTTTGACATCATAATGTACAGGAAGGAGGAAGAAATGTAACAAAATGTGAAAGAGAAGGGGTCTGTACAAGAGGGTAATGCTATATAGGGGTCCTTAGCATTGCAAAGTTTGGGAACCCCTACAGCCTACATGTAAGCGACATCACCATGTTAGTAGGAATGAAAATAAAAGGACCACAAAGAGACCAAAGGACCTTTGCAGACACGTTTCACACGTTTGTTAACGGGCTTGTGCACTAACAGTTGATTTTGGGATTCAGCCTGCAGACTGAAGTCAGAAGTGCATGCTGTCTGTCTGCTCTAATGACACGCTATGGTGCAGGTCAACATGTGTGTTTATGTCTGTGGGTTTGATAATAGGGAGCATTATGCAGGGAAAGCTCATGTGGGCTGCTGAGTAGTGAAGCTGCTGCTGTCTGCTCTGCTCGAGATAAAACTCTGACGTAGCTGCTGCTCACTGTAAGCTTTGATTGGCTGTATCAGAAGAAGGTCCCTATCTGCATACACAGATGTCCAACTGTGAAATTAATGCAAAACAAGAGGGTGCCTTAATGAAATCAAAACACAAAAAATACATCTCCCTCTTTTTGGTTGACAGTGCAGAGACTTTCGCTAGAGTGACCAACAGAAGAAGAGCAGCTGGGAACACGTGGGAGGGGAAATCCTTCAGGTTTATTCATCTTATAATCACACTTATTGCATGAAGATAAACACTCAGGGGTCATATTTCTTATAATTAAACTCTCGTAGAGATGTTCATTGTGTTTTAGACTCTGTGTCGACTTGTTTAGCCTGATGCCTCCTCCACCGGACCCCACAAAAGTGGATGATTAATTATTGAACAAAGGAAACGTTTAGCATCATTTATTCCAATTTGTATACCACTTTTACTGTCGCAAGTGGAAACAACGTTGAAACATTTGAATCTGTTAAATCATAGAATTTAAAACGGAGCTGATGTAACTGTACAGGAGACTGTTTCTCAATGAGCCCAAAATAGTTGCTCACAACGCAGTCTTTGTCCTCTTTTCTAAGCAGCTCTGACATTCTTATACCACCTTTCTTTAATGGAGGCTAGGGGTAGTTAAGTCTCTGGCTGCAATGGCTTTTTCTTCTATATTTTCCCATTAAGTAGTCCTCATTAAAGGGAGACTGTGCAACATTTTACACATAAAAACAGCAGAAATCAAGTATCTCCTGTGTAAAATGTCTCTCTGAGTCATGACTCTCTACAATGAGTGAGAAGCGTGTGTCCCGCTGGCTGCGTTGTTGTTGGAGCCGTGTTTACATCATGTTTACATGGACAGGACGGCCTTGCGTATAAAAGCTGTTGGAGTCAAGGAGAGAAAAGAAGAATAACATACTCACTGCTTATTTGGATGTTACGTAAGTGTCTTTAGATCGGTTTAAATTAATGTGCAATACAACAATGCAGGACACGGGTGATTGCAGCTCGACTCGAGGACAATTTTGTCCGCTGCTGGAGCTTAATGGTTCTTAATTATGCAGCGTTCTCATTCATTTATTGGAGGTGTGGAGCAGAGCAGAGGCTTCAGAATAGCTGAGGTGTCGCTAAACAGCAGTTTGTTTTGGTTTCATGATGGTGCTCAAGGGCGACATCTACTGGATCAAAACACATGCTACCTTTAAGAGTTTGAGGAGTGTGCTTCAGTGACCTTGTTCCTGGTGAGACAAGTCATTGTTGTATTCTTCAGTGCTTATATTATTAGTATTCAGTGAGAGACAAAATCTCACACCTGCTCAAGCAAAACCTAACCTCCTGTACCTACCTAACTTATGATGACCCTGATGACTGATGACTTTTATTTTGGTTTGAATGTTTTTATGGACGTTCGATACATTCTCCGTTTCCTGTTCCTTGATGTAGGTTCACTCTATTATTTATGTATTTCATGTTTTTATGTTGGTTCTCATGTGCCAGTATTTTCTATGTTTCTTCTTTTCACCTGGCTGCAAATCAAATTTCCCTATAGGGACAATAAAGTTGAAGTTAAAGTTTCTGAATAGCTTCATCTCTTTAGAGGAACATAAAGAGGGGAACGTGTGTTTACTTGTCCTTCGGATGAACTGAACCACGGAGTAAAAAATTAATATATTCACACTAATTTGTAAACTGAGATAAATGCAAAGCCTTGCATGACCACCCACCTTCAGGTACTGCACCGCCCTCTCTCCCATCTCAGCCTGAGAATAACACTGAGCCCAGACAGGTGCCAGGTTGGAGGGGTAGAACTCAAAGTGTTTGGAGTTTGTCACCAGGTTGAAGTCAAACCAGGCTCCCCTCTCAGCATCCCACAGCACGGACTCTATGGCCTGCAGTCTGCGGGCTGCAGCCTGCTCGTACTGTGCAGCTGAGTCACCATCACCTGTCAGCAAACAGCATATCACTGTTATATAACAACCAGTTGGGAGCTAAATGCAGGGTGCAATCCAAAGTTAGCACCAAGGTCACTGCACTCACCCAGTATCCTGTGAAAAGAAGCCAGAGTTTTCTCGCTGAGGCACAGCAGCGCGTTGAGGTCAGTCGGCAGGATCTGACTGGTGCGGGTGGAGCCCAGGGTGCCGTCACTGTCACTGTACCAGCGGGATGTAAAGTCCCAGCCAGACTCTGCACCCGCTTTCAGATCCATCCACAGCTGCTCCTTTCGCTCTGAGGCAAGAAACAAAACATGAATCCAGAAAAGCCACAACAAATCAGCATCTGAAATGTGGTTACTTATTCATGACTGTCCTGTTTAAAACTGAAAAAATAAAAAAAATGGAGCCTCTGAATAACACATGTTTTGTTTCAATCAATCAATCAATCAATCAATTTTTATTTGTATAGCGTCAACTCATAACAAGTGTTATCTCGAGACACTTTACAAAAAGCAGGTAGAATACCTTACTCTTTGTCTGTTAACATTACAAAAGAGCAGGTAAAAGACCTTACTCATTGTTATGTTACAAAAAGCAGTTCAAAGACCTTACTCATTGTTATGTTACAAAAAGCAGTTCAAAGACCTTACTTATTGTTATGTTACAAAAAGCAGTTAAAAGACCTTACTTATTGCTTATTACCGCTTTCAGTGTTTGTAATGAAAGCTTCTGAGACTACAAATCAAATGTCTCTTAAGGAGGAGGAAACAAAGACTTGACCTTGTCTATTTGTTTCTCAGATATAAAATCTCAATATTTTAGTGAACAAAAAAAAACAACTTTTTCTTCAGTTTTTCCCAAAGTGTCTGGTCACACAGTTCGGGGGGATTCAAAAGACAGGCTGTGTTGAACATGAAATATTCATCACAACATGGTGCTGAAGTACTTTCAGAGCAATTTATTTTGCACAGATGATCCTTGAATCCCGGGAATTTATTCCACTTCTTCTGCTAAGGAGCAATTACGAACATTCATTTCCTTTCTCTCTCTCATGGAATAAAATGACCATAGCAGGGTAATATTTCTGCTGCTCTGAAAGGGGAATATTCATCCAGAGAGAAAATGAACACTAATAAGACATTACCATCAGTGAGTCCTTGGGCTAACTCCAGATCATCAGTGTAGGACTCAGGCCTAGTGAGAATAGAAGTTGTGGTTAGTTTATAATGAGGTGCAGCATACAACATACACATATTTAGGTTTTGTTTATTTATTGTTTGTTTTTTTGAACATACCTGGGCAGGCCCACCTGCACATAATACCGGTTCAGTTTATGCTCTGACCCGTTCACTCTCACAGCCACAGAACGGTTCTGCATCCAGAACTGGTACTCCCGCTCCAGAGTCGGTAAAGCGGCTCTAAACCGTGTAAAAAAAGTGATAAAATACTAAATGCTTTCTATTCCTTATTATCAGTACACACAAGAGTCAGGGTGTGAGGAAAAACAAAACAGCAAAGGTATATAAAAAAAAAAAGACACGAGCACCGAGGCTTTTTCTCTGTTCTGCAGGAGGAGAAGAGGTGTGTCTGAGGAATAATAATGCAGCTGGCAGGACGTCAGCTCAGGCCAAACTATCACCTGAGGAACTTTTTATCCTTGGTTGCTTGATAGTAGCTCTCCACCATTAGAGTGAGGAATGGAGGCTGACTTCGCCGTTCATAGTAAATCCGCCCACCATTTGGAACGAAGCCATATCTGCAGGAAGGGTTTGAAAAAAAACAAAAAAACTTTTTATTGCCCAAAATCTTGAAATCCCTCCCGAGAGCTCCGTATGCAAAATGTACAGCCGAAGCCGAAGAATGAGCCCCATCAGAATGAGCCCCGCTGGACGACCTGCAGCGTGCTGCGTGATTCTCTGTGCGATTAAAGATGAAAGGTGCTTTGAGGCTCACCTGTCGACGAGGTAGAGGAAGTTTTGAATCATCCCGTAGGCCGTGTGTGTCATCTCTGACAGCAGGAGCCCGTTGATGACCCAGTAGGAGTCCCTGTTGGGCAGAGAGCGGCTCACGTCACTGTCTGCACACGGCACATGGGTGGGCACTCAGCAGAGACCCCCCCCCCTGCGCCTGGGCCCCGGCTCTGATCTCTCCTCGCTGTGACCCGCTGAGACTCTTCTACTGATGCTCAGACAGACAGCCGAGAGACGAGCCTCGTCAACTCACTCACCAATAGTAGAGCTCCCTGAAGCGGCCCCCCGGCACAACGACAGGATGGGGGGTGTAGATCTGGGAGTAGAGCTCGGGGTGATCCTCAACACTGGAACGAATCTGGACAACACATTTTATGTTCTTTGGACTCAATACACACATAGAAGGATTACTGGCCATATAAACAGGAACATGAATTCAAAATAACACATTATGGTTATGCGATGATACTTTTCCTTTTTTCAGATAAAGAAAAGACTGCAAAAAAAAATAAAAAATGATTGAATGATATATTCTTAAAATAATAATAATAACATGAATCAAGCACCAGAGGAGGTTTGTGACCCTGTATAAACCAGCTCTCTCAGAACGCTCCGTTTTGGTGTGTGTGTCTCTTTAAATTCAATGAGTTCCCCTGAGTTTTCTCTATAGACATCACTCCTCTGTAGCGAGAATAAAAATGGCCGATCTGTGCAAAAGTTTTGTTCTAGGCTGGGGATGGAGTCCATGGGTGGAGATATCAGCGGAGGGGAGGGGATTTTTCTCCCCCCCCAGAATCCCACGGTGACATCACAAGGAGAGCAAATTTGAAACGGAGCATTTTTCTCTGTGTTGTAAGACTTATGCAGACCACAAACAAAGGACTGGGTGGATTTATTTCACATTTTGTGGGTCAGTAGACACTCAGGTTACCCAAATATATGTTTAAAAACACTGTAGAAGTGGATTTTTCATAATATGTCCCCTTTAAATCCAATATAATTGTACACAGGCCCTATGTGGACCTATGTTTTCTGGAAACCTCAACTTATTTATCTCGTTTTCTCGGGGTAAAAACGCTGGTTTTCTCATAATTAAGTTCATTTTAGACGTTTTCTCAAGATCTTGAGAAATGATCTCGGAAAAACCAGCGATGTGTTCCCGAGATAACTAGACAGATTATGTTCAAATCTTTGAAATGGTTATTACGGGACACGGAGTAAAATGAAAAGTATACATGTGCTGTATGTCCCTTTAGGGCTTCCATAGTCATGCACCAATTACTTATTTTAATCGATCAATCATTTTTCTGTAATAATCCAAACCTTGAAAATGTTGATACAACAATATCAGGAAAAAAGAGTGAAAATGTACATCATCATTTCCAAAAAGTCAAAATAAACATTTCAGGTACTTGAAGAAGTGAATTTTGAAGATATAAAAGTAGCTTGAATGATTGTTCAGTTACCAAAACTCTGGCGGTTTATTGGACCAATCATTCATCCTCTAACTCTCATCACCTTTCTGCCGAGAGATTTCCACAGCTGATGGATCTTTCCAGCCCAGCTCCGCAGTTGTTGGTCTGCTATCCCTCCCAGGAACTTTGGGCTGCACAAATCAAAAAAAAAATCACATCAACCAAGAACAGATAAAAGATAATCTTATTATGAGTCGTCTTTGTTAACTGGATCTCACTTGTCATGCCAGTCTGATGGAGTCCACGACTCAAACTCCGTCCCTGGTTTCTCAAAGTACGTCCTGAGGAACTCCTGCAGTTTGGCAGGCGGGATGTTTGGTGATTCTTGTGACAGGTTTTGAAAAGCCGACAAAACAACATCTGCAGAGAGAAGAAAACAAAGGGAGAAACTAAAGCATCCACATAACAGACGTCATGAAAACAATCTGATTCATAGACTTCAGACTCACCAGGAGTTTCCCTCAGCTTCATGTCAACAAAGTACTTGTCATCATCAAACAGTTTAGCTGCCTGTACCTGATGCAAGATGGGCCCGGAGCAGTATATCTCACTGAAATTCATTTATAGAGTTGTAAATTATTAATCAGATACGATACAAGGCCATCTGTGTCATAGAGAATTACAGAGTCCTGCAGGGAGGCAATAAAATCAGTCTAACTGTAAATAAGCAGGTGAGGGCAAGGTCTGCTGACAACTTCACAATAAAGAAATCTTATGAGATATTTTGTTTGCTAGCTTCAAAAAGGACTAACTCAATATTTACAAAGATTTCTAAACAGGAAATCAAAGCTGCCAGGATAACTGTCTGCCTTTCTGAAACCCGAGTTATATGTTGTTCTTTCAAGGAAAAACATAGTGTGAAGGAATAAAAATATCAACGCTTGGCAATACGTTTTCTTTTTTTTAGCAGCAGATCAAAGTTAATAGAAATAGTTTTAAGATTCAGGATTAACAGAGCTGCATTCAAAACAGTTTTTTAATTAACTTGTTTTACAGCCACATGTAAATATTAACTTCAGTACCTACAGAACTCAGGAGTGATTCTTTTCATAAACAAAAGCCTTTCACAAACTTTGGGTCTTTTTCTCACCTGTCACATGGTGGAGGAAAAGCACTCTGTGTGCAGGCCACAAAAGCCACAGATGAAAACAGAACTAGCCTCATGTCCAGCTGTGAAACCATCACTGTAAATATATTAATTGTGAAACTGAGGTGAAGGAAGAGCGCAAGTTAGTTTGTGGTCTGTCAACAACCTCCAGAGGCTGAGTTTCCATGCCCAGGCAGGCTGTCTCTGAGTAAAGTCTGAAGTCACAGGGAGAGATAACAGGTTTCACAATAAAGCTGGTCATGAACTTTGGGTTCACTTTCGGTTTCAGGCTCACATGAAAGAGGCGTCATTTGACACTTCTTCCACATAAATAAACCACCATCCCCTGCTGTCTGCCTCTGTAAGGTTGATATAATAATGAGAACATAGACTTTATAAGATGTATGTATATACAATTATTTTCAGTCTGAAAGGTGAGAGGCGATGGTTAATATATCTTTAAAAAAAGCAACGCTGCTGAATTGAAGGGGAGGAGATGTTGCAGAAACATAGGCTTCTGTTTTTAATCAGGTGATTCATTTATATTTTTCATTTCAATAAACTGTGGATTCTTCCGTTACTATATGAAACTAGTAAGCAACTCAAGCTTTAACAATGGTTAACATCATTACAGCAGTAGTGAAGATAATCAGGATTGTAATTAAGTCAGGTTTGGTCTATCACTTCATTAAAGATGTAATTGGCCAAATTTTCCTTCAATGCTTAAGTTATGGTAGGTGAACCTGCGGAAGGATCATTACCGGTTTGAGATCCCCGCACCCGAGGCCGCGTGGCCCCTCGGTGCTGGCGGCGGATATGTCAGAAAAACGTTTGTCTATGATTTGACTTCAGCAGCCTATATGTTTAATACATAAAGATTATTTTATTATGCGTTTCTGCTCCAACTGGAACAGACTTTGCAGGTCATTAGGACCAGATATAAAACTGCAATGTTGTTTAAAGGTCATGCGAGGAGTTTTTAGCAGGTTACAAACGAACCCGAAACACAACTGATGCCTCTGTTTGACCTTCAAATGAAAGCATTGAGTTTCACATAAAGGCATTAAAAACAGGAAGATGGATTTAGTGCTTTGCAGCAAACAGAAATATAAAACATCCTTTTTGTCAACGTGGGGCACACGGGAGCTGTCCCTCACTGTAGTTTTAGTGTGGGAATGATCTGCTGAACATTCAAAGTGAATTCGACTCAAGTAGGAAAAGGGAAGGGGATATATTCATCACTTACTGAATGTAAAGGCTCTGTGATGTCTTCAGTCACTGCATGGCTTCCTTTCAGAAACGTTACCAAGGTAACATTCAAAAGTTTCCATACAGAAAATGACAGCACTGATTTAAAGCCCAAACTCTGACCAGGTTGAGTTTAGAGTAAGTTGCCATGGTAATCTGGCCAGGTTTACAGAAGGGTCAAGTTAATGATACAGAAAACTCAGACTTTTGGCTCAACAGACCCATCTGACCCTCTAATCTGGCTTCGTTTACCCTCCAAGTCAGAGTTTAAGACTGAACAGAAGAACACAACAGCAGCAACACACAGACACATAGTGCTGAAGAAATGTGGAACAGGACCCTGCAGTGATACACAATAAAATGTCAGACAGAATAATTTCAGTGAGCTTTATTTTAAACCAAACTTTCAATCACATCCAATCATACTGATGACATCCTTTTAAACTGAACTCCACTGTAAAAATAGCATCACTGAAAAATTCTGCCAATTAAATAACGACCAAATTTCCATCAAATAAAAAGAAAATTAACTCAGGCTTTAAATTCTTCACTTAAATTTGGAGACTTTTGAAATAAGGTTTACTCCACTTGAACATTTCATTCGAAAGGAAAACAAAAATCCAAATTTAAGGGCAACTTTTTTGAACTTTTTTTTTTACCCACTTCCATAACTTTGGATCTTCTGATCATATCCTTGTGTTTTGTAAAGCCCGTAGGCTCCTCCCCGTTGTTTCACTGATGCACACGTTTTGGAAAAGCCCTCAAAGACTCCACTCACATCCTCCTCGACAGAAAGGTTACAGGACGGCCAAATTGTACACAAAAGCTGTGTCAGGATGTTTTTGTCAGAACTATCAGGAGAGGATGAACATGTGCATCAGGGCAGCAAAAACACTAATTTACCCACCCAACAATTTTTTTTAAAAGACCTTAAAGAATGAGACAATTTAGTTACAGAAATGATCCAATTATTTAGCCAATCTGGGAAAAGATGCTCTTGTCTCAGTCTTAAAGGTTCTCAAGATGTCAGCCACAGGCAGTCAAGCAGAATCCCATTAAAGGTGACAACATATTCGATGTTAAAGGACTGTTGGCTTTTGCCTTGAAAGCATTTGCTACTACCGGAGGGCTGACACCTTACAGACAGCTGCCAAGTGCCTGTATAGATTTAACCCCTGTTCACTCAACTTGTGCTCAATTTAATTTAGAGGTTTTTTTTTTTCTTCCATTTTTATAACAAAACACTACCCTCCCACCCAAACAATAAGCCAAAACAGCCAAATCAGATGAGCAAGTTTTTTCTTTAAAAGGGGACAACCATGGAGCTGAGAGAACAGGGGTCAAAGTCCTAAACAATGAGAAATACAGGTGAAAGCTTAAACTGATCTGTTTTAAAGTGTTTAAAAAGAGCTTAAATTAAATGTGCAATAATACTTCTCATTGTTAGAACGGTTCAGAGCATCTCATAACTAAGGGAACCTCATTTGCAGAAAGGTTTCAGCTCTGCAAACGCCTGCTAAGAAAACCTTAATGCAATATAAAGGTTGTCAATGTTGCATAAAATTGCAAACTGTAACCCAAACCCAAAATATCAAAAGCAATAAAGGGCAGAGAAATAAGAAATAAAC